TTCCCCACGACTCCCGATTCCATGACCGGTTCCACTTCCTTCCTGGTCTCCCTCTTCCCTCGCCCTCCTGCGGTGCTGCCAGGCGTGCACCTGCCGCCACTTTCCAGCGCCCCTGGGGGGTGTCCAGCGGAGCGGTGTCCTGCGCAGATCTACTCTCACCCCAAATTTTGCCGTAGAGTGAGACCTCCCCCCATGTAGAAGCTGCCAACAAAGATCGGTCGATGTTCTTATAAGACTTTCCTGCCCCCCTGGGAAGGTCCACCCGGGCGGCGTCTGAATGATGCCACCTTGTTTCGAACAAGAAACAACGGCATAAACATAAATTTCGGGAGCTCCGCGCGGAGCTCCGAAAACTTATGTGTATGCACCTTTCTCTTCTGCGAGACACCTTGCTAGGTCAACTGAGCTCGCAATGCGCCAGCCTCTTCCGACAGCATCGCGAACCATCCTGCTGCCTACTTCGAGAACGGCAGGCAGCCCTCGAGAGCATGAGCCTCTTCACGTGCGTCAGTGTCGAATGGGAATCCGAACTGCCCCAGTACGCGATACGCAACACGCAGCGCGTTGGCACGGAAATTAACACGTAGACTGAAAACGCAGGTCTGGCGCGATACGTTTGCCAAAACATGGGTCAGCACGCGCCGAGCCAACACGCAGCGTGTTTAACCAGGACGTTTTGAACGTGGCACGTGTTGCGTTCCAACACGGGCGTATCAGGGCAACTAGAGCAATTTCTTTGTCGTTCGGCGATAACCCGGGCTATCTGGCGGGGGGGAGGCAGATGATGGCCGATGATTGGGCAAACCCACGTATGTCCACGCGCCACAATACTGCGCACCCACTTGGGGCCTGCGAAACCGACAAGGTCAAGTTATCCCGGGGAAAGGAGGTGGGCCCAGTAACCTGGATTATCGCCAGACCCTTGAAAAAACAGTCTCTGATGATCGGAACGTGCCGTCGGGAATGCGCTACCCCCACGCTCGATGAGGGGAACCTCGGCGGCGGCTGGCGTGGCCCTCCTTCCTGCTCGTGGAGGCCGCAAGCGGCGGGCGACGGCGACAGCGCCAGCGTCAAGGGTCAAGGTCCCGTACGAGCACGAAGCCCGGTCTGATACCAGACGCGGAGCGAAACAAAAACAATTGCACGAACTACATGTCCTCTGCTGCTACAATTCCACTGATGCTGGTGCGTTCATGGCTGTGCGTCGGAAAACGGGGAAGAGAGAGGGCGCGCGAAAGGAGAGAGGGACGCACGACGGGCAAGGACGAGAGGCGAAGCGAGGGGAGCGGAAGGGAGGTACGACTGACAGGAGGGGGGACGACGGAGGAAACGCGAGCGGGAATCAGACGCCGCTGCGCCACGTCGTTCGCGGCCTGCCTCTGCAGCGCTTCGGCTGGGCAGGCAGCTTTGCGTCGGCAGTGCCGCTTGGGTTCCAGGCCACGACTCAGCTCAACAGCGTGTTCTGGCTCAAACGAACGAGGTGTTCCTGCAACTGGGTTTTGCTCTTGATGAGTTCCGTGGCCCATTGCCGTATGGGCTTGCGAGCTTGTGCTGCTTCGAGTCTTGTCTTCAGCCTCCTGCGCATGTCTGACCAGTCGTCTGTGTCGAGCTTGACATACCCCACCATGCAGCGTAACATCTGCCGCTGTGTACTTGCAAACTGTTCAACGTCGTTCGCTGTCAGAGGCGACGTCGACAAACCGTACATGGCTGTCGGCGTGACGATGCTATCGAACAGCCAGGCACGGAGGTCGAAATCGACGCGCTTGTTCGCCAGGGCCGACCTGAACGCGTTGAATTCGGCCCACGCACAACGAAGCCGATTTGCAAGCATAGCCCTGCCTCGGATCCTGAGGTTGCCCGGTAGGCGGTTTCCCAAGTATGTGCGGTAATCAGAAGACCTCACTACGTCGATGAAGTCCCCAGCTGTGTCGACGAAAACCTCATATGCATTGTCGTACAGGTGCTCATCCAAGGTGAAGATCCGGCTCTTCTTGGCTTTCAGCTCCAGGCCAACTCGCTGCAGCTCTTCGTTCAGAACGTCGAGCATCTCGGTGAGCTCTCCAAGACTGTTTGAGTAGACAATCGGGTCGTCAGCGAAACGCACGTGCGACAAGCGTGTGCTGCAGCATCTGGGCTCGAGTTTCACGCCGTGGTCGCGCAAGCGGTTTTGCCAGCGCCGCATGACCATCTCCAGTCCGGCATTAAACAGCAGCGGACTGAGAACGCCACCTTGACGAATACCCCTTTTGATGTCGAACATGTTGTCTTCCCCGAGACGCCCAATATGCTTCCTGTAGGTCGCCGACAATATCTTCAGATAGGGCCGTGGACCTCCCTGTGCACCCAAAGCTTCAAACAAGCGCGGCAATAAAAAAATTCAAGTGCCTTCTTCCAGTCTAGGCTCGCGAAGAAGAGGGGCACGTGATAAGTCGATCGCCTTGCTGATCGCTGTTTCAAGGACTAGCAGGGCGTCTTCTGTGCCGGGGGCTGGCGTGAAGCGCTCGTCAGACTGTTCTTGATGGAGCTGGTGCTTCAGGCGGCCGTGGAGAACGCGAGCGAAGATTTTGTACGTCACTTTCAGAACTGTTATCGGGCGCCAGTTGGACGGATTAGACAAATCCCCAAACTTCGGAAGCATAGCGAAATAAGTATCATGCCAACCTTCGTCGACGCGCCCCCGTCGCAATAAGTCATTTGGAGCGGCAGCGAGGAAGTGTAGAATCTCCGAGCCGCCCTTGGAAATCATCTCTAGAGCAATTGCAGATTGGTCCCGGCACCTGCCTCTTGCCATCTGCTTCACGGCGCGGCTCAATTCCCCGGGCGTGGTCGATGGGATCGTGCTCATGTCGGCGTCGTCGAACGTTGGACAGCTGTTGTCGCTCGCGAAGATGTCACCCATGAACTCAACCATGTTGTCCGGCGGCCTGCTGGGGGCGGCGTCGCGCCTGGGAGCCGGTGCGCAGAAGACAACGCAGATATGTTGCGGAAGCCGCCGGGAATCTGAACAATCTTCTGGCTTTTGACTCTGCGTAGGTTGTTGCGCTCTGTCCTTTGGATTTCCTTCGACAACTCTTTCCGTCTCGCTTTGTCCGTGCATGTCTTCCGCTCGTGCCGCAACTCCTTCAATCTACTATCATCAGCGAGATCAGCGGCGCGCGGGGGGTCATCGTTGGGGTCTGCCTCTGCGACAGAGACTAGTACCGGCTTAATGCCTGTCAGAATTGTAGGCCGCTCCGCCAGTAAAGCCGCTGTCAAATTACAAGAATAAGTGTCCGTCTCAATCCATTTCTGGGCGCGCTTCCGCCCCGATCGCGCGTTCCGGTCTACGAAGCGGCCCTTCTGGACAAGCGCTGCCTCGACTGCTTTGTGGTCCGAGCCCAAGTCAAGGCTGTTTACGGCACACGCGTGGACTGCGCGAAAGCCAGGCCCGTGCAAAACAAAATTGATCTGCCGCTTCACACCCAAACTGTTGGTGAAAGTATACACCTCTTCCATGAGCACCCCCCGCAGTCGTTGGCGATGTGCAAATTGAAGCAGCCTGTGAATATCCAGAGCTTATCTGCGCGAGTGCCTGTATTGAGCTGCGTGTTGAAATTCCCACCGACTGTGTAACAAGAACTGAACGACGAGGCCCATCTCGCCGATGTGGCCAAGAAGTCCTACGCGTCGTCCAAAGCATCCGAAGGGTATCCCGCATGCTGCATGTAGCAAGATCTGACGCTTAATGTCACACTCCCTTTGAGAAGACGCACAGAAAGAAATCGATCTCCCAAACTTCTCTTCGCTACAACATGATCTGCTCAACGTGCATGCATTAAAACAGACACTCCACCGTAAGCCTCGCCCGGTGGCTTATCAGCTTGTGGTTGCCGTGGAGTTCGCACTCTGCCGCAGCGGCCCTTGCCTCACTGAAGCAAACGAAGTCCCACGTCATGTCGTGCAGCTCAGATAGCATGTCTGCCGACCTCTGCGCTGTGTGTATACGTGCATTCTTACAATAAACCGTCACCTGCAGCGGCGGGTGAAACAATGTGCTCGCTGGGTGCTGTCCCTAGTGGGGACCTTTCTTCCCCTTGCCCTTTCCTATTTCGGCTCCTTTCCCAGCTGTTCCCCGCTGGAGCCGCCCAGCGGGTTTGGCGAATAGTTCCTTCCACTCTCCGTCCTCCTTCGAATACTCCTCCCAGCCCTGCCCGTACTTCATCTGCAGTTCCCCCTTCTCAACCGTCGCCTCCACCACCGTCTCCCTCCCTAGATTCAAGACGTTCGTGTCCACGTTCGTTCAAGACAGCGCCAGCGGCAGCGACGAAAACGGTGACGACGGCGGCGGTGATGACCTCGGCGGCCCAGCAGAGCCGGAAGGTCGGGAACTTTTGGATAGCGTGTCGCAACGGCGGCCCTGGCGACACGCTATGCCCTGCGAGCGGATGGCGTGTCGCTCCGCTCCGCGGGACGGAAAGCTCGGAAAAACTTGGGACGTTGACGTCTGGGGACCCGGGCATGGATAACGCGTCGGTCCGAAGCATGGTGGGCCGGAACCGGCGGATCGACACGCTACCCGAAAATTCTCGACCGCAAGAGCAAGGATTGCGAATCGGCGCACGTACCTGGTTTTCCAAGAGACGTATCGAGGAAAGGCGCCCAACGGCGTGGCCGAAACCAGCTACACGCAGCAGAAGTCGACCCCCTCCTTCTGTCCCACTCCCCCTCTCTCGTCCGACCCGAGCGGTGGGGATGGCGGCGATGACTGCGGCGGCGTGATTTTTGTTGCAGCGCCGACCCCTGGAGGTCTGGACCCCTTCCCATGGACCGCTTTTTTCCACTGGTCGCTATCAGGACGGCCCCGAGGCCCAGCGAGGGCCCCCAAAGGTCGAAACCTGCCAGAAACCTCCCGTCGGGACTTCTCCACGACGAAGGGACTCCCATGGCCGGGGGGCGTCGAACACACTCGGCGCCGTGTTGACGACACGAGGTGGCCCAGCACAGCGGGCGCCCCCGTCCTGGTCGAAGCCGTGCTTGCGCACGGAGAGCGTCACGTCCCAGGCGCCGTCCTCGCGGGCCTGCAGCGCGTAGGTGACCCTCTGCGCGCCGCCGCTGACGACGACCTCTGGCCGCGGGCAGCGACGGGCAGGACCGAGCACACCCGAGCGAGCACGCCCACAGACAGGCGGCCCACGGGACCCCCCCGGCGAGGCCGTGCACCGCGACGGCCAAGCCGAACACTGACCGAACCGACGGCGAAACAGAAACCGACCGAAGCCAGCAGGCCGCGAACGGCCGCGACGCGGCAACGCACCGAGCCGCACCGAACGCGACCGAGTGCGACGCGGCCGAACCGACCGAACCGCGAACACCCTTGACACCCCCGCCTGGCTAGCAAACGGCTCCCAGAATACGAGAAAGACGCCCATGCACCGCATCTTGCCTGGGCTCCGTTCCGGCCCCGCTCCAACGCGGTGCGGTGCACAATTTGCTCGGCCCTGGGGGCCGAACAAATATGCACCGTACCGTTCGTGGGTCGAGAACCGACGACGCCTGCTCCGGAGACGCCAGCGCGGCACGGTGCGCGCAAGTCGTCCGCGGACAAGAGAGCCTCGGAAGCACAAGCAGCACCAATTCCTTGGGGAAGGCAGGCATTTTTACTACGCGCGCCTTCTTCGCCTCGACCGCGCCCACGACGGCACAACAGGCCCCAAGGATCGCCCCAAAGATCGCCCCTGGAAGTCCCGCCACGGCCCCAAGACAGCCAATCGCACCCAACAGAACGCCAGACAAATGACGAGGGCCTCCAGAAGCAAACAACATTGATATCAGGTGTTTGTTGAGCAAGATTTACTGTTCTCGCCTTCTCGGGCTGCCGACACGCCAAGGTAGCCCGACAGACCTCGAATATGGCTCTGACACAGCCGAGCGCTCGAAGACGTCCCAAGACGCCCCAACAGGCCCCCAACAATGCCCCAACAATGCCCCAAAATGTTCCAAGCAGGCTTCCAAGGATTGGCGCCTGGCTGTGCATTCCTTCAAGAGAAGGGGAGGGGGCACCACATTTTCGATGGCAAGAGACAGCGCACAGGGCCCAAGCGCCACCTCGCCCTTTGCAAGGTGGACGGGGGGGGAAGGAAAAAAGCCCGAGCCGAAGCGGCTGCGGAAGAGGGGAGGAAGAGGAAGCGAACGAAGAGTGGCACCAGCGCAGTCAACCAGTTCCGAGGAAATCCCACCGAACGAAACAAATTTGCGCCCTGCTCGTCCAGGGGGAAGGGGAAGGGGCACCAGGTTTTCGATGGCAAGAGACAACGCGCAGGGCGCTTGCGCCACCCCGCCACCACGCCACTGGGGCACCCCCAACCCCACCCGCCCCCCTAAAAAAGAACACGGGGGGGGGGGGGCCTCGTGCCAACGGCCCGAGGAATCGCGCCTACCAGCAACAGGCTGGCCATGCCCTCACTGGGCGGGGCGCCCAGCGCGACGCCCTTGCGCGGGCGCGCCAGCGCCAGCGCAACGAGGGAGGGGTGGGGCCCGCCCGCGCTCCTTCCATTAGGTCGGGCGGCGTCCGCGCACAGCCGCAGGGCGACCTTCCCTCTCCCGGGCAGGGCGCCCAATGATCCGGCCGCGCCCGAGCGCCGCTGGCCGGCGCGCGCGGGGGGGTCCCGCCCACCGGCGTTTCTTAGGTCGGCCGTCTCACTCATCCGGCAAAGGGACAAAGGCTCGGCGCATCCGCGCCACCTTGGCTCCCCGTTCTTGTGCGTCCCAAAGATGGACTAGCATTCGGCCGCCGTCGAATTGGGCCCCCCTTCTCCCAGGCCGGGAAGCGGCCTCCGCCGGCCCTCGCCCCACTGGACCTCGAACAACAAAAGCTTCCGTTTCGGCCGGGGTTGCCCGCGTGAAGGATCTGCTGAGGGCCTGCCGATGCGCTTCGACGTTGAGGGGGCTCTTTTCGTGGGGGCTCACATTTTGTTCCACGGTGGCGGCTTCTTCCCCCCCTTTCTTCCATCTGGCCTGATCACCATTATGGGCCCGGTGCGCGATGGGAGGGCGCCGGCGCCCCCTCCGCGGCCCCTCGGGCCATGGGCCCCCGTGCACTCGGGGCGCCTGTATGTCCCCACCTGGGGCGCGTGCCTTGCCTTTCCTCCTTCTGGGCGGGCTGGCCCCCGGCGGCGCGCGGCCCCCGGCCGCCCGCCCTGTTTTTGATCAGATGATCGTGGCCGCCGGCGAAGCAGCCCGACACGCGCGATGCATCTTCCCCGTCTCCTCCTCGCTCAGGGGATCCATTGTACGAGATTTCTACATGCAGGTGGCGTTGACGGATGACGCGGCAGCGCGCGGCCCCTTTTTTGCGCCCGGCGGGGCCCCCGCGGCGCCCCGCCGAAAATCCAGCTCTCACCTCCTTCGGGGGCGTCGGAAGACGTGGGCCAGACGCCCGCGGCGGCGGGCGGATGGGTGATTCAACGCCAGCAGGAGCGAACATAATCGACACCCCCCCCCCGCGCTGGGTGCCGGGGCAACCGCGCTGATCGCTCAGTCGCGCAGGTCTCCGCGGCTCGCGACAACCTCGATTGCCTCTTACTCCAGCCGTCGCTCTTGTCTTCCTCGCCCCATTTCTTCCCGGGGTCGCGCGTCCGCGAAGAATTGCCGGACTCGCCCTTCAACTCATTGCCGCGCAATCCGCTCCCTGAGCTCGCGTTGCCACCGCTGGCGCTGACTGCTTCGCTCTTCTTGCTCTTGCAACTCGAGCCCGAGTCGCCGCGACCAGCGCGGCCAGTTGCAGTAGCGCTGCTATGCCACTTCTCATTTTATTTCCCTCCGCTCTTGCTCCAATGGCTCTCCCAGCAGTCGCTGGACCAGGAAGCGCCCCACCCCCCTTTGCCTCCATCCTTGCCTCTACCACGTCTCCACCACTTTGGCCGAGACGCCTCATTACCGGCAGAGGCATCGTCAGCCCCGCCGTTTTCGATCTCTTTTTGCACCTGACTCCGCTGGGGAAGGCAAGGGGGACGCAGGCCTGCCAGTCACCGACGCGGCGGCAGCGCGCTCAATCGGATATCGACCTTCCATCTCAGGATAGCCTTTTCACCATGGCGACGGCCACCGTTGTGAACCTCGCGCCATGCTCGTCCAGAGCCCGGCCAATTTTCTCTCGCGCGCCCACTGACGGGCCAGGCCCCTCGAGATACAAATCGTTGGCGAGTTTTTTTTTGAAAACGCCTCTTGCAGCGGGGAAGCCACTAACGACGCCAATTCCATAGCGCATTCGCCGGCCCGCGCTTCATCGTGCAACCCCTGCGCCCCCCTCGTGATATGAGCACGGAAGAGTGGGCACATCTGCCCTTCAATGTGCATAGCCATGATGGCACAAACGATTCCCTTGCAAGCCGTTCTTTGTCTGCTGAGCCCAAGGTTCACGCTCTGTTCTGCTCGATTGGTTGCGATCCGACTCTTGTTTCATCATTCGCCAGATCGTCCCAGGCCGCTGGTCTGCGCCGGCCAGATACCAATGCACGGCTTTCGCGGTCAGAAACTGGCGGGCAGCTTGCTCCGCCATTATGGCTTCTCGGCCGCAGCCTTCGCATCCACGATGCATGTCGTCCGAATGGGGGGCGTCTATCAATGCCAACTCTGGAATGTCCTGGACATGCCAACAGCCAACAATCAGGAGTGACTTCTGCCCTTCCACAATCGGCAATGTGCTCTCTACTGCGAACGCAGCCTGATTGGGTACCGCCTCCGCCATCACGTTCTCGATACTGTTGTGCCTGGAACGAGCCTCATTGAATTTCAACGATGCGTGTCTTCCCTGTTGAAGGCACCCCCCAATAATTCAAGCTTCACACGTTTCGCAATACGAGCCAAACAAACAAGCTGCGCGAAGGGCAAATCGATGTATGTGCCCAGCGACCTGCGCACTCGAGTCCGTATTTTGCCAGATCGAACCCTCCCACGTTTTAGGGATCAGTGAAATCCCAATCACAGACATCCAAGGAGCCGAAAACCTAGGGAATGTGGATTCGTGTTAATCAAGGAGCGAAATTTCGGATACCACATAACCATATCCAAATCTGAAGCAGATTAGACCTTGCATAATTCTGGAACCTCATGGCCAAGTTGCTAAACATCCTCATACTTGGAGGAGAGCAAACCAGTCGCTGACACTGCTCAAATTTTGGGGCCCACGCCAAATGGGCAGCAGTGGTGGGACCATGTTCACCATTTCCTCTCAAGGATCGCGAGCCCCGTGACCCAAACGAAACAATCCAAATCTTGCAATGGCCCGTTGTCTTTTTGTCGCATAGTTTCGCCTTCGTCTGACACTTGTTTTCTATGTTTTGCCTTTTCAGAGCGGGGCCTTCTTGGTTGGTCGTGCTGGCCAACGTCTCGTCCTGCTCCGCATTAGCCATGGGAACGGTCACCACAAGTGAACCAATACATATTAATCACACGCGCTCCCTAATTTGACCAAAACCGCCAAGCGTCAACACCGTAGACAACAGTTTTCTTACAAAACGGACACATCAGGGTCTCGAGACTCAGCTGCTCGCCGCATGCTCAAACAAATCCATCATATTTCCACAGAACTGTTCCTAACTGCACCAGCGGTGCCTCTGAGAATTCACAACTCGTTTTGTGTTCTATGGGAAACGGAGGCAGGCGGGTACTCCTAAGTGATTATCTGGGGATGTGGTCCGCAAGCCGGAGCGACATGCCGCAAACTTCGCGAATATCTCCTTCCTGGCTCCCATCTGTTCTTCCCACTGGCTGGGCAGTTGTATCATCGTGCCCCCATCAGCTCTTGCTACTTTCTGTGTCCCACTCAACAATGTGATGTCCCATCCTTTGAGTTCCTGGCCGACGACCTGTATCTTCCAAGGTTTCCACAAACGACACAGCCAGTAGGCTGTGGGCCGCTATCTTCGCAACGGGACTCCATTACTTGAACAGCAAATGTCTCAGCATGAGTCGAACTGGAAACGGTGCATCCCTTCCCCCCTCCCCTGTCGCGGGCGAGAGAAGCGGACCGAGCCTGCGATGGCGGAAGTGTGGCGCCCCTCGCGCGGATTGGGTCCACTGATCCTCCCCACAGACACCTGCAGATGGAGGAGGGATGGGAGAAGGAGGAAAAGGAGAAGGAGAAACGACAGCGCCACGAGGGTCCAATGTCTCACGATACTCAACGCCGAACTGCTGGTTTCAGCCGCTTGTAAGACCGAACGCCGCTAGGCGGAGGAGGAAGCAAGAAATACGGTCGGAGCAAAGTCAGGAAAACATAGTACAAGAACACGGGTCCCTCCGCCGGCAAAATACACGAAAACATAAGGTCACCGAAAACCAAGGGCCCCTTCCGAGGAGTCACCCGGCCTTCACTGCCTGGCCTACCTAGGAAACCATTGTGAAACCCCAGCCGGAAGCCTCAAACAGTCGGTTGGGCCCCGCAAACCCAAGCCAGCCAGTCCCAAGCTTTCCCCAATAACATGCGAGGGCGTTCGCCTTCGCGCCGTCATCGCCCAAGAGCGCGCGGTTGCTGGAGGCCGCACCGTGCCATCGAAACCGAAGAACGCGGAGCCCTCCCCCCCCGCCCCCCTGCCCGCGCCACGGACGCATCAGTCCCACGGCCTACCCCATCGGCCCTAGCAGTGGGCCTCAGCTCTGCGCCCTGGGACTCATCCAGACATCCCATATGACATTGAAGCTCTCGCTCACCCTTGCCCCAGCCGTAGTTCGCCGCCTCGTCCACCCGCCCTAGCCTGCACAAGGACATACCGACAAAAGAAAGAACCTCAAGTACCCTTCCCCAACGCAGCATATTCTTACGCTTCACTCCGACCGTATTCGTTGGGCATTTAAACCAGTGCAGCTTACACCATGCTGTTGCGGGAGCGGGAGAGGAAACATACATATTGCTTCGCGGCCACTTCCTTAGCCATGCGGGACACGTGGAAGCTAAATGTGGCGGCCAGGATCACATTTTCACGCGTGCGGTCAGGAGGAAGGGGCCACGGTAGAGAAGACAAGCCCTCCATTCGAATACCGCAGGTGGGGGCAACGGGCTTCGCCCTGCTCCACGAGCTGGGAGGAGGGGGAGGAAACGGGGGAAGAGGAGGATAATTGCACGACCGAGGAACCCCACATGCTCATTTTACGTCGCGTGTGTTCACATACCCTCAAACGGCATTTTGGACCCCGGGGGAGGTGGAAAGGGAAGGGGGTGCAGCCAAATGTCTCATACGCCTTTTCACCGCCTGCCACGCTTTGCGAGCATACGCCGGATTGCGACCGCACCCCCTGCGCACCTGCCTGTGGTGTCGATTAACTGCACCCCTGCCACGGTTTGCAAGCGTACGACGGATAGCGACCCTTCCCCCAGCGCCCCCCTTGTGGCATCGGACACTGCCAGCCCGTCGCGCTTTGCGCCTGCGCAAACACCACCGCCCCCACCCCCTGCGCACACCGTCTTGAGTCGAGCGAATGCCACGCCTGCCACGCTGTGCGAGCGTACGACGGATAGCGACCGCACCCCCAGCGCACTCCCGGTGGCATCTAGTAGCAGCCACGCCTGACACGCTTTGCGATCGTGCGACGGATAGAGAGCGCACCTCCTGCGCACTTCCTTGCGGTGTCGATAAAGTGCACGCCTGCCACGCTTTGCGAGCACTCGACGGATTGCGACCGCACCGCCTGCGCACCCCCCTCGTGGCATCGAGAAACTGTCACGCCAGCCACACTTTGCGAGCGTACGACGGATAGCGACCGCACCCCCAGCGCACCCACTGCGGCGTCGAGCAACATCCACGCCCGACACGCTTTGCGAGGGTGTGGCGGATAGCGACCGCACCCCCAGCTCACCCCCTGTGCTGTCGATAAAGAGCGATCAAATGTACGCCTGCCACGCTTTGCGAGCGTACGACGGATAACGACCGCACCCCCTGCGCACCCTCTGTGGCATCGAGAAAGTGCACGCCTGCCGCGTCATGTGGATGTGCATGTGTTGCATGTGTGGGTATGGCGCCCGTGCCGTATGACAGCCTACGCCTGCCGCGCCCTGCGAATCTTGCGCGTATGTGTTGTGTGGTGTGCGTGTCAATGCGTGTGTGGTTGTATATGGACGTGTGTCTCATGTGGGTGGCCAGTATGAGGCGCATGCGTCGTGGGTGTATGATGCAGTGAACACGCCATGTGTGCACTAACTTTGTTGTGTGGTGTGTGCACGCGCGCGGCTGTATGTAGACGCGTGTCTCATGTACGCGCCGTGCATGTGTTGCGCGCGGGTGGGGCGAAGAAGAGTTGGAGGGGAAGGGAAAAGGGAGGGAGGTGTGTGCGGGAAACGCGGGTGCGACGCAGCAGGGAAGAAAACCAGAACCCCACGAAACATGTGGGGAATGAAAGTTCTGGCAGCAGCAGCAGCAGCAGCAGCGGACGCGGCCGCCGCACGGAAGGCCAGCAAGAGGGGCCTGCGAGGAGAAGCACGCCCGCTCGACGCTGGCGAGCCCCGACTGCGACATGGCCGAGGTCACGGCTCTGACCAGCAGCGGCGGCGGCTCGCCTGTAAAGGGGGCCAGACGAAACCAGGACCGGGACAACATCGGACCAGGACAAAATCGGGATCTCTGAGATCCAGCGCTTCCCCCTTCCCCTCCTTCTCCTCCTCCTCCATATCCTGATGCTTGTCCTCCTCCTCCTTTTCCTTGTCCTCTTCCTCCCTCCTCGTCCCAGCGACCAGGGTCGGCGGCACCGGCCGTAAAGCCTTCGCCATCGGGGATCTGTGAGATCCTGGACATGTTCGCCGTAAGCTGCATTTCTTCAGTGGACGTTATCGCGTCATGACGCGAAAACGCCCGTCGTCGTCGTCGTCGTCGTCATCGTCGTCGTCGTCGTCATCGTCGTCGTCGTCTTCGCCGTAAGTTGCATTTTTTCAATGGACGTTATCGCGTCATGGCGCGAAAACGCCCGTCGTCATCGTCGTCGTCGTCGTCGTCTCTGAGAGCCGGTTGCCGCAAAGTTTTCACAGTGAACGTGTTCACCTGAATTCGGGCGCTGGGAGCTTCATAAATCGATCCAGCGCGGGAAATCCCTCAGAAACTTGGGGTCTGGGGTCCAGGTCGTAATGTCTCACGACGTTATTATGTTTGGTGGCGTCGGACCTCGATGACTGGCCTTTCTTTGCATTGCTTGGCATTGCTTGGCGTTGCTTGGCATTACGGTGCATTGCTGGTATCGCTTGGAACTGTTCGGAATTTCTTTGCATTGCTCGGCATTGCTTGACGCTGCTTGGCGATCCCAATCACTGCTTGGCATTTCTTTGCGCTGCTGCTTGGTAACCCTCTGAACGCCTCTGCAGAAACAGGCAAGAAACAAAACCCGGGAACGTGGGAAACCCCGGAAACCCGACCAATGCCCGCTGGCGCAGGCCTAGCACCCACCGGTTCTTCAAAGACAGCAAGAACCCCTTCGGCAAGCCTGATTTGAAGGAAAAACGCACAGTCACGCGAGCGCGTACGCACTGAAAGTAGCGTAGGAGGAGGGGAGAGATAAGACGAGGACAGGGAAGGACGATGGTATGCATGGCAACGCTGCCACGCGCTCCGCAGGCTGGGTGGGTCGTCCCACTCAGCCAGTCCCTCCAGACGCGTTGCTGCTGCCTTTGCATGTTGTTTCAGCCAATCCCGAGATGTGCGCACTCGCTCTCGCGTTAGTGGCCCTTGCAGGCGAGAGCTGCATTGCTTGTGTTGGCACTTTTGTTTGGAGTCCTCGTCGCGAATTCTGATTCGCTCCGCAGAAGGTGCTCCTCCGAAACACGCTTCGAGGACAGTCCAGTGCCATATCAGATTGCCGACGACCCGTGGTCTACCGCGTGTCGAACATCCACCATTACATTTCCAGCCTGAAGCCTATGACCCCAGAGCCTCCCATGAAGAGAACTGGGGGCGCACAACCTGGGGCTCTGAGAGAATCATAATAAAATGCATGTGTGAAAACTGCATGCCTCCAGCTCGCGCCACGCTGAAATTCTGTACAGATGCGATCAGGATGGCCAAAAGACGCGCGACAAAACGCGCACATGCACTCTGCATCACTCCAACGCCAGGATCGTAATCACGTTGCATAGAGTCTATGAGCTCCCAGTCACTACGACCTTGAACAAGGCAACCGCGAATTCAGGACCCGCGCGGCTGCGCGCTGCGTCCGCGCACGCCTGTGCCAGGCTGGCTCCGCCTCTCGCGGCGTGGGGAGCCCCCTCCAGCGCGGGCCTGGCGGCGGGCGCGCAGCAGGCTCGCGGGTACCTGGCAGCCGCGCCCAGAACCTCGAACCAGGGCGGCGGCCACAAGCAGGGGGAGGAGGGAGGAGACGTACTTCGAGCTTCGAGGAGCAGGATGGTGGTGAAGGGGCGGACGGCGAGCTGGGCAGGGCGAGAAGGGGCAACAGGCGCCGGTCGCCGTGCCGCGCCAGGCTGCGCATCACGGCCGCGGTGACCTCCTCCAGGAAGGCGCCTCGGATGCCCTCGTCGTGCTCCGCCAAGCGAGGCGCCCGCTCCTAGGCGCCGGCCGAGTTGGGGGAGGGCTGCGGCGATGCACGCCAGAGAGGGGAGCACTAGCCCAGCAGAGCGCCCTAGCAGCAGCAAGCAAGGGTGAACGAGGCGGGTCGAGGCTCAGGAGAGCGGCCAATGAGAACGAGAGCTCCTACAAGCCGTAGGAATCCCAACGCGCGTTCCTGGGGATTCCCAGGAACGCCGACAGGCGGGACAAGGGACGCGAGCGCGGCAACTGTGCACCCCGGCGTCTCTTGCAGGGGATCGTGGCTGCCCAGACCGAGAGTCGCACGCAGCCAGCACTGGAGCGAGACCACGCTCCCTGCACCAAGCGTGAGGATTCCACTTCAGCGAAGCGGCTGCCAGCACCGGGCGGGCACGGGCTCCCCGTCCTCTCCCTTGCGAGGCTCTTCTGCTGGCCCTGGTCAAACACGACGAGCACCCTCTATAGGGGGCCACAGGCGGACCCTACCCCTACCCCCCCCCCATTTCTGAGGGGGAGGGTGGGGTCCACTTCGCTCGGGAGCTCCCGAAAGAAGTGAACCCCACCCTCCCCCTCAGAAATCGTGGTGGGTAGGGGTAGGTTTCGCATGTGGCCCCCTACTCTAGCGAAGCGATTTGAGGGAAGTGCAGCATGGATTGACGGCGGGCCTTCTCTGTAGATGTAAGGCCAGCGCCCTCTAAGAAGCAGCCTCCTTCTGAGAAGCCTTCTCCCCTCCCCCCAATTACCCCTCCCTGCGCGTGGCCGAATAGACACAAACTTTTGAAGGTCCGCGCGGATGTTTTGCGTCGGCGCTGGACGACCCTCCCTGGCGCGCGGAACGCGCCACGGCGGCGCCAGGGGCGCCGCCAGGTGGGTCCCAGCGCAGATCCAAGAAATCCGCGCGGACTTTCGAAAAGATGCTGTTTTTTCCCTAATTGCGTTTCGCTAAACGGGTCGAATCATGCAGAACAAAGCACAGAAGAGCTCCAAAGGGGCGACGGGGGGCCCGTGCTCGCCCAGTGCCGGCGCAGCCGTTTCGCTGAAGACCTCCCCACAGTTGCCTCAAGAATCGTGCTTTCGCTTCACTGCCGGCTGCATTTTTGGCCCGGACGGCGGCGATGCGCTACAAGAAATGCACCAAGGTGTACGTGGCCTGGTCCGGACGGCCGCGATCCCCTGGTGAAGAAGACGCTGAGGTGCACGTGGCCGTGCTCCCACCCCTGTCCCGCCCGTCAGCGTTCCGCGGGATCCATAGGAATCCCACTGGCCCTCCGGGCGTAGGTGGTCTGACGAGTTCTCCTTCCCTCTTTCGCAACCCCCTCCCTTCCCCGTCGGGGAGGGGCTTACCCCTCCCCCTCCCACCTCCCAGGGGTCTGGATGGAGGGGGGGGCGGAGGTGTCGGGGGATCCTTTTTCGCCCAAGATGGCATCAAGAGGGCCTCCGATGCTCCAAGATGACCTCCAAGATGGCTGAATCTAGCCAAGCATGGTTCGGTTCACGATAGCTTCCGACATGCCTCCAAAATGCCACAAGATGGCCACAACAAGACGGCTCCAAGTGCTCTCGGAGCCATCCAAGGATCCCACCAAGAGTCCGAAAACCAACACAAAACGACGAACTAATTATACATGTTGACTTCTCGCCTTTTCGAATCCGATGGGCTTCTGGCGATGGCTCCCCCCGCTCGAGGGCAGGCCATGGCGGCCCAGGGCGTCGGCTGTGCGCCCCCAGGCGACCCCATGCCGGCGGGGGAGGCACTCCCGGCGGCGGCGAGGACCGCATCGGGAGGGGAGGGGGGCCGTCGGCGTCGGCATCCCCCTCGGGGTCGTCCGCGCCGAGCTCGTCCGCAGACTAGTACGGGTTGGCCCTCTCGGCGCCTGGAGCCGCCCCGCCCTCTTTGCGGCGGCCGCCGCTCCGTGCATGGCCAGGTAGCCCTGGCGAAGGGAGGCGACCCCTGCCGGGTGCGGCCAATACGCGCGGCCGCGGGCGGGTCCAAAGGACACGAGCCCTTCGCAGGCCTCCTCGGACAGGGGATAGGGAGCCTCGGGATCCATCTCCGAGACCTCTCTGAGTCGACCGTCAGCACGGACGCTGTGGTGCTCAGCGGGCGGGACGCTGCGCCGAGCAATGGCAGGTTGACCACCGGTCCAGCCCGCCCTGTGACACCCCTCCGCCTCTGCCAGACTGAGGCTGTCTGCTGAGCGGAAGGACCCAGGCACCGCCAGCAGGATACCCCCAGGTCGAGAGGCCACGAGGATCGCGGCGTACCAGACCTCGCCCTCGTCCAGGCGCCAACGGTCGCAACGCGCGGCCGATGGCGCAGTGAACGGGGCGAGGTCGGGACAGACAGGGCCCTTGGGGATGGCAGGCCCCCCGCCTACGGAACATGCGGCTGCCATCGCCAGCAGCACGTGGAGCGTGACCCGAGGCCGCCCGGAAGGGCCAGCCCCTGGGCGCGGCCGAGGGCGAGCCCTGGGGCAGGGCCCGTGCGCAGTCCTCGGCCCACGCTCCTGGGCCGTGGGCCAGGGCGCGCTGCGCGCTGCGGCCGGCGGGGCGCAGGGGCCCCGAGGCAGCAGCCCCCGCAGAGGCTGCAGACGGCCGCGGCACCAAGAAGGGCCACGGCCGTGGAGAGCAGCACAGGTGCGACCCCGCTGCTCAGGTCCACCGCCAGGTCGGGCAGGCCGGGCCCCAAGCGGCAGGGGGGCCCTGCCCACCGCCGCTCGGGTCGGCCTGTGCGGACCACGGCGCCCCCGTAGAGGAGGCGCCGAGATCCGCGAACGAGGGAAGAGGTTGGCCCACGAAACGCTCGTAGAGCACGGCTCGCAGACCTCGGAAAAAAGGAGCTCACCCGTCCCCGCTAAGGCCGCCTGAGCGACCGCCTGCGTAAGGCGCCCGCCGAGAGGGGCCGATAAGGGAGTTTGGGCGAGCAGATGCAACGACCGTGAGGCGCAAGGGAGGGGAGAATCAGAGAGAGCATCAGCATCAGCATCGGCATCGGCATCGGCATCAGCTGCAGCATCATCATCATCATCATCATCATCATCATCATCATCATCATCATCATCATCATCATCATCATCATCACCATTATTAGCATCATCAACATCATTATCATCATCATCACCACCATCATCGTTATAACCGACAGCATCGCCATCTTCATCGTCTTCATCATCTTCACCATATTCACCATCTTCATCACCACAAGCAACATCATCAGCATCAGCATCAGCACGATCACCACCATCATAATCATCATCATCATCATCATCATCATCAGCATCGTCATCATCATCACCATCATCTTCATCATCATTATCGTAATCATCATCATCGCCATCGTCATCGTCATCACCGTCATCAACATCAATACCAGCATCGCCATCATCATCAACAACCTTATCAGCATCGCAATCGTCGTCATCAGTATCATCATCACCATCATTATCAGCATCATCACCACCATCAGCATCCCTATCAGCCTTACCATCATCCTCACCCTCATCCTGGACCACATCCTCCTCCTCATCCTCATCCTCATCAACATCATCACCACCATCATCATCATTATCAGCAGCAGCAGCATCATGGAAATCAGTCATCAGCACCACCATCATCATCAACACGACCATCGATATCATCATCAGCATCATCATCATCATCGCCATCACCATCACCACCACCACCATCATCAGCATCAGCATCATCAACACCATCATCATCAGCATCACCATCACCACCACCACCATCATCGTCATCATCATCCGCATCATCATCATTACCAGCAGCACAATCACCATCACCATCACCATCACCATCACCATCACCATCATCATCATCATCATCATCATCATCATCATCATCATAATCATCATCATCACCAGCATCAGCATAACCATCATCACCACCACCAACAACCACCATCATCCCCATTCCCCATCACCACCACCGTCACCATCACCATCATCATCATCGTCGTCATCATGATCATCATCATCATCACCACCAACATCATCATCATCAGCATCATCATCATCATCATCATCAGCATCATCATCATTATCATCATCATCATCATCATCATCATCATCATCATAATCATCATCATCATCATCATCATCATCATCATCATCATCATCATCATCATCATCATCATCATCATCATCCTCATCCTCATCCTCATCCTCATCCTCATCCTCATCATCCTCATCATCGACCTGGGTCCGAAGGCCCCCCTCTGGCTGAGACAAGGCGCACGTCGGGAGCTGCCGATGCGCGCGAACGGGAGGCAGCCCGCCCTGTCGCGGCCGCCGCGAGCTATGCGGACCAGATGCGACGGCGGCAGCGGGGACGCCGAGATGCTACTGGGCCAGGCGCTGGCCGACACCCGTTTCTGGCAACGGCGCTGCGAAGCGATCGAGAGTGCTCGGCAGCCGCCCGCGACGACGGCCATGCTGGGCCTGCGGGCTGCGTCGGCCGCGCTCGCGCAGCTGGCGTACGGCCGCGTGCCGCTCTGGTCCGAAGCGCGGTCCTTCGCGCCCGTCGCGGCCGAGGCGACGCGCAGGAGGGTATCGAGCAGGAGGAGAACATCGAGCACTGGGCGCTGAGCATTAGCACGGAGGTCGAGGGCACCGTGCAGGAGGACCCGCTCGTGGTGCCGCTTACCGTGCTGACCGTGGGCTCCGTGGTCGAGGTCATCAAGCAGGAGGAGATCGAGACAGAGGACGAGTACGGTGACGGCACGGCGTCCGTGGCGGTTGCCGTGACCGAGGGCACCGAGCACGGGGCGCTGAGCACAGAGGTCGAGGGCACTGTGACGGAGGACCCGCACGTTCTTCCACCCGCCGATCCGATCGTGGGCACCGCGGTTGAGGGCACCAGCGAGGGCACCGAGCAGGAGGAGGACATCGAGCACGCGTTCGCGACGTTGGTGTGCCTGGCCCTGCAGCAGGTAGCGGCGGCCGCGCTGCTCCTCGCGGACGCCGTCCCTGGGATCCCGACCCACGCGGCGCTCGCCGCGGAGGGCCTGGTGCGAGCGGCTCGGAGCGCCGTCGTCTTGCTCTCCTAACTGGGCAGGGCCGCCGTGATCATCGTGAAGGACGTCGCCCTGGCCGTCTCATCGGCCTCGCTCTCGGACCTGTGGATGATCGGCCTGGGCTGCGCATCGGAGGTCGGCACGCTCACGCTGGCGCGCGCGGCCCAGTGCGCAGCCGGTTCGCGGCAGCGGCCCCCCACGCGGGACAGGCTGCTGCTCGCGCCCCTGCGGCGGGCCGCCGCGACGGCTTGGCGAGCAGCGCGCGGGTGGTGCGCCGCCGCGCGCGGAGAGCCGAGCGCGGCCCAGCCGCCGGGCGGCGCGGCCAGAGGGCGAGCGCGACTGGACGCCAGGCGGCCCATGGGGCCCGGCGGCGGCGGCGACGGAGCTGGCGGTGCCACTCGGGACGCGCCCGCGCCGAGGCGGGCTGCCAGGCGGCTCGGCGCGGCCGACGGCGCCGGCGGCGCGCTGACCAGGCTGAGCCGCCCGAGCCAGTTGCATGCCTTTCGGGCCGTGGGCCTACCTGGCTCCAGACCTGCTGGACGCGGCTCCAAAACATCGGCCGAGAGCCCCATGGCTGCCGTCGGGGTCTGGGGGCTCTCACGTCCGCCAGACCCGCAAAGGCTCGAGCGGAAGGGGGCGGCCCGGCCGCGATGCCCCTGGTGGCCTCAGACGGTCATAGCGGGGGATGCCCGAGTCTGGCGTCTTGGGCCCGTCTCTCGTCGCCGTGGGCCCTGAAGGGGCCTCGGGCCCTCGTCTGTGGCTGTGCACGCATTTAGATCCAGTAAGGTAGGTGAGACCCGCTCCCGACCGCTGCAACAGACTACCCGACCACCACCACCACCACCACCACCACCACCACCATCATCATCATCATCATCATCATCATCATCATCATCATCATCATCACCATCATCACCATCATCACCATCATCACCATCATCACCATCATTACCAGCATCATCATCATCGCAATCATCACCTTTAGAATGATAATGATAATCAACATCATCATCATCATCATCGTCATCATCATCATCATCATCATCATTACCATGATCATCATCATCATCACCACTACCATCATCATCACCATCACAATCATCACCAGCAGCAGCATCACCACCATCATCATACTGATAATCAGGATCATCATCATCGTCATCACCATCACCATCTTATTCATCATCATCATCATCATCGTTATCCTAATCACCGTCATCACTATCATCATCATCATCATCATCATCATCATCGTCATCGTCACCATCACCATGACAGTCAAAATCATCACCACAATCATCATCATCACCACCATCATCACCACCACCACCATCATCATCACCATCATGAGCATCGTCATCGTCATCATCATCATCAGCCTTATCATCCTTACCATCAACATCAGCATCATCCTCAGCATCATCATGATCACCACCATCATGTTCATCATTGTCATCATCATTAGCAGCATCAGCATAAATATCATCATCATCGTCATCAGCATCATCATCGTCATCATGATCACCAGCATCCTAATCATCATCAGCACCATCACCACGATCAAAATCTTCATCATCACCATCATCAACATCATCAGCATCATCACCATGATTATCACTAGCATCATCATCACCACCATCACAAACATCATCAACATCATCATCGTCCTCATCATCACCACAATCATCATCATCACCACTACCACCATCATCACCATCAGCACACACAATCACAATCATCATGATCATAATCATCATCGCTTTCGTCATCATCATCACCATCGTGTCCATCACCATCACCATCATCATCATCATCATCATCATCATCATCATCGTCATCATCATCATCATCATTATCATTATCATCACCGTCATCACCATCACACCCAGCACCATCTCAATCCTCATCAGGGTCCTCATCACTAGCATCATCATCATGAGCACCATATTCACCATCACCATCACCATCACCGTCCATCACCATCACCAGCACTACCAGCATCGCCATCACCATAATCATCACAATCACCATCAACATCATCATCATCATCATCAGCATCATCATCATGACTATCATCATCACCATCATACTCCCCATCATCACCATCACCATCACCATCACCATCACCATCACCATCACCATCATCATAATCAGCATCATCGCCATCACCATCATCATCATCATCGTCATCATCATCAACACAGTCATCATCACCATCGCCATCACCATCACTGTTACCATCACGACCACCATATCATCATCATCACCACAATGAGCATCATCGTCATCATCATGATTGTCGTCATCACACTCCTAATCATCATCATCCTTATCAGCATTAGCACCAGTGTCAGCATCAGCATCAACAGCATCATCAACATCGCCATCACCATCACAACCACCATCACTATCACGATCATAATCAGCATCACCATCATCAGCATCATCATGACCATCGTCATCGTCATCAGCATCAACATCATCGCCATCATCCACATCATCATCAGTATCATTGTCATCGTCATCACCAAGATCATCATTACCATAATCGTTATCACCAAAGTCATCAGCTTCTTCATCGTCGTCATCGTCATGATCGATATTATCATATTATCATCATAATCATCGTCATCATCGTCATCATGAACATGATCGACATCACCATCACCATCACCATCACTACCGCAACCACCATCATCATCATCACAATCACCATCACCATCATCATCATCATCACCACAATCATCAGAATCAGAATTACAACCATCATCACCATCAGCATCATAATGATAATTATCATCAGCATCATCCTACGCAACATCACTATCACCATCACAATAATCATCAGCAGCAACAGCAACATCAGCAAATGATTATCATCATCATCATCACCATGACTATCATTATCACGGTCGTCATCATAATCATTATCATCACTTCCATCATCATCACCATCACCATCACCATCACCATCATCATCACCATCACGATCACCATCATCATCATCAGCATCATCATCACAATCATCACCTTTAGAATGAGAATGATAATCAACATCATCATCATCATCACCATCATCATCATCATCATCATCATCATCATTACCATGATCATCATCATCATCACCACCACCACCATCATCACCATCACAATCATCACCAGCAGCAGCATCACCACCATCATCATCATACTGATAATCAGCATCATCATCGTCATCACCATCACCATCTGATTCATCATCATCATCATCATCGTTATCATCATCACCGTCATCACCATCATCATCATCGTCATCGTCACCATCACCATGACAGTCATAATCATCACCGCAATCATCATCATCATCACCATCACCATCATCTTCATCACCATGACCATCACCATCCTAATCATCACAATCACAATCATCATCATCACCATCACCATCACCATCACCATCACCGTCACCATCATCACCATCATCATCATCATCATCATCATCATCCTCATCGTCATCGTCGTCGTCATCCTCATCGTCATCGTCATCACCATCATCACCACCGTCACCATCACCATCACCATCGGTTTCTGGCCGATCCTCGAAGGGCGCCTGCGGCGCGGACGCGGCCGCCGCCCGCGGCGCGCTGGCGGCCTGGTCGGCCGCCGAGGCGGCGGCGTGCAGGGCGTCGGCGGCCTCCGCGGCGACGGCCGCCTCTCAGAGGAGAGCGAGTGGAGGCAACGGCAGTTGGCATTCGGCGGGGCCCTCGTCGCCACGGCTGGGCGCAGCTCGGAAAACTGGTGCGTTTGGACCCCCGGAGGGGTCCAAACGCACCCAGAAGGACCTGTCGGCGCCCTAAACCCCAAACCCTAAACCCTAAACCCGAAACCCCTAACCCCCTAAACCCCGGAGGGAAAGAAAAAGGGAAATGGCACCCCTGGACCCCTGGAGGGGTCCAGGGACTGAATCTGAGCTGTCGTTGCGTCTCGCCCTGCTCCGAGCCTCGACAGCTCGTGGGGGGCTCCCCGGCAGCGGCCCTCCCTGACTCCGGATCCGCCGTGCTTTGGTTGACTGTCCGAGTTGGGATTGTCGGAAACGCACCCCGAACAAGGCCAAGAAGTATGGCGGAAATTTCCGCCAAGAGAAATAGGGCAGATACTTTAGCAAAAGCACGGCGGAAACAGCGGCATGAAAGGAACGGGAGTTTCCGCCCTGCTTGCGAAATTGCCCATGAAGCACGGCGGATCCGGAATCAGGGCTCTTCATCCTGCTCCTCTCCTCGCGAAGAGAATCGCGACGGGCCGTTTTCGGCCTTCGGGGGCCCTCGCCAGGCCTCAGCAGGCGGAGGTGGGGACAGGCGTCCCCTCGGAGGTGAGGATGGGAGTAGGCTCTCCGAGCACACTGGGATGCCTCTCCATAGTGCGCTGGGGCTTCTTCACGGATCGCAGGGTGGGCATCTCGGAGGCTTTTCGCCGACTCGACCTCGTCGTGCTGGGGCTACCAGGTGCGCGCCTCGCTGAAGGGATCGTTATCCCTGGGCATGCAGAATAGGCATCCAAGCGCGGGGCAGCCCTTCTTGCGCCAGTGTCGCGGTCCTTTGCGGCCAGGTCCGGCTGCCCTCGGCAGGAAAGCCTGACAATGTGGACTCCCCTCGCGGGCTGTGGCTGCGTGCGCTCGATGCACATGGCCTGTCATGGTTCCTTGGCACGGTGTATCTAGTGCAACAACAAACGGCACAACCATAAACTTTCACCAGTCCGCGTGGATGTTTTGGATCTGCGCTGGACCCCCCTCCACGGCGCGCGGAGCGCGCCAGGGGCGAGCCAGAGGCGCCGCCAGGGGGGCCCGACGCAGATCCCAAAAATCCGCACGGACCTGCGAAAGCTTCTGTTTATGCCGTTTTTTGCTCTTCGATATTCCTCCGGCCCCCCAAACAGGTCCAGACAAGGAACGGCTCCTCGAAGTGGACTGGCTGCACAGGGACGTCGACGTGGATACTCTTCTGGGGCCGGCCCCGCTCCGAAGAGGGCGCCCGTGTGGTCAATGGGGGACATCGACATGCCGCGTGAGGAGCCCACGCGTGCTCGATCTAATCCACGCGCACCTTTTGCAACCACGTGGGGCTTCTCACACCTCGGCCCTCCGTCGGGTCAGGGCTCGACCTCCACGGTCCAGCTTCCCCTCCGGTGCCGGGATCTTGCCCTCCGTCCAGGAGACGCCCGCCACTTCGGGGACTGTGCGCGCTGCATTGACGTTGTGCTCGTTTCCCTTGCGGCCCACGCTGACGCTCGGGTGCACAACGGCTTGCCCTGACGGGGTGAGGGAGACTGTTGTTGTGAAAGCAGTGTCAAATACACGTGCGTGGACCATTTTCTGATCGATTTCCCTTCTCCCCCCACCCCGCGAGCAACGGCCCAGGGGCCTTTCGCATGCCGCGGGTGTGGAACTCTACTGCTCCATGCATGGGCCGACGGGCTGGCCGTAGCCCGCCCAGGTCTGCGAGCGTGCACGGACATACTGCGGCATTATTGCGACGACGAGGCGGCCAGCTCCAGCACGAGAAGGCTGGGTGTGCGCCTGGCGCGGTGGTTGGCGGGTATATCCGCTTGGCTGCCGCAACTCATCCTTGGCCTCGTCCTGGCGGGCTGGGTATTGCAGCGGGCACGCCCTGCCCCCTGCGGCGCACAGGGGGTTCCAGCGCTGCGGGCCAAGGTACGGCGGCCATCGAAAGGCTGGGCACGGCGCAGGAGCGAGCGTTGAAATGCGTATGCGGCTTCTGCGCCCGAAGGAGCCCGGCCAGCCTCCCTTCGATGGCGAGACCCTGTCTGTGGAGGCCTCGCGAGGAGCCTGGTGCCAACAGCTGCGGGAACAGTCACAATGGCCTGCAAGGGTTGCTGCCTGGGGTTCAAGGCGCTGCGCGGGCCTGTCGTTGCCGGGCCTTGCACGATGCCCGGGTCGAACATGGGCAGCACGGGGGCTACGACGCCTGATCTGGTGCCGCGCTGGGCCCTCCAACTTGGAGATGCCTACCTCCTGTCCGCCGTTCGGCCCTGCGCCTGACGAGCCCCGGGCACCTTGCCCTTCGACCAGCAGCCTGGAGGGGCAGCTGCGCCGCCCCCTTGCACGAGGAAGGCCCGCTTGACAAAGGGGAATCCTTTGGAATCATCATGGTGATGTCGCAGCTGGGCCTGCTGCAGGAAGTACTGGTCCACTCTGGTCCACAGGCGGCTCGTCCACCGATTTTGCGCGTCCATGTTTAAGGGCCAGAGCGGGTATGTCCCCGATGTGGGCGACGACGCGCACCTCGTGCTCCACGAACTCGCAGGGGCAGAGGAAGCGTGTCGACCCCTGTGGGCGGTTTTCGGGGACCTCAGGAAGGCTTTCCCGCGCACCTGGAGGGAGGTGCTCCCCCTGCGCCTCCACGAAAAGGCCGGCGTGCGCGACGGCATGTTCTCGCTCCTGGCGAGCATGATGGCCTCGGACACCATCCACGTGAACTTTTTCAATTGCGTTGCCACTGTTCTCATTGACCAGAACAGAACAGAACAGCGGCCCTCAGGGACGAGGCAGAGCGCCACCTTCCTCGGCGATGCGCCAGGCCGGAATCGGGGACGTTCGAGCCGCTGACGTTCTCCGTCTGCATGGACTCCCTCCCCGAGGCCTTACACGAGGCAGGTTGTTGGGTCCGCGATGGTGTGCACGTCCCGCACATCTGGGCCGGGCCCTGGTGGCAGGGCACGGACACCTCCGACTCAGGCCGGACTGCCACGCTCACCAGAGCACACCGCGAGGAAGAGCCGCTCCCGTCAGCTGCCGAGCTAGCAGGCGACCTCGTGCTGGAAGCCTCCGCACTGGCCTCGCTTGCTGTTGCCGCGCCGCTGCGCCTGGCGGCCATTCTGCACGCTGACGACTCCATCTTGCTCTCCTCCACCCGGGGAGGGGCCCAACTGGCCCCGAATATTCTTGCCGCGTGGGCGTTCGCGCACAAGGCCTCCCCGCACACCGAGCCCCTGGGAGGCGTGGCAGCCGCCCCCCTCCCCCTGCCGCTCCGGAGATGGGCGCCCGTTCCACTTGGGTTCCAAAGACGCGCGCCGGTGGCTCGGGCTTCTGTGATGTGGGGACCTCGACCTCTCGAGGCTTGTGGATGCAAAGATCGGAGCCGCGTCCTCGCAGTGCGCCTCCCTCGCGGGGCATGCTGCTGCAGGAGCCCTTCCGCTCGCTGAAGCTGCTCACATCTTTCAGCTCCAGGTCTGAGGTGCGCTGCGCTTCGGGCACTGGCTGTGGGTGGTGGCAGGAGGCGCGCCGAGCAAGCTGGAGCAGAGCTACTGGGGCGAGGGCGCGCGCCCTCCTGGGTATAGTCCTCCTTGGCGAGGGCCAGCCCTGGCCTGCTCGGAGCTGGGCTGGCCGAGCTTTGGGCCGGCCAGGGCGCTGGCCTGTGACGGCTTCCAGAAAAGCCCTCCACAGGCGTGTTTTCGTACACGCCGACGGGTCAGGAAGCCGTACTAGGGCACAGCTTGCGCTAGCCCTCCTGAGTGCGTGGTTCGTTCCAGATTGGCTAACCTTAGAGGCCGTCTACGAAGGGTCGTCTCTGCCTCAGTACAAGGCGCATGTGCGGGCCCTCCTGGGGTCCCGGTGCAGGCAGGAGCTGAGGCGGCAGTCAGTTGGGCTGGTGAGGCCGCTTCTGGTCCTCGCTCTCGGCCCAATCCCCTGGCCAGCTCTTGCCAAGGCCCTCAAGCAGGGCCTCCCTTTCGACGTCCTGCTGGGCCAACACTCGCTGAGCAGGCTTCGTGGGCGGCTGGTCGCGCTCAGTCACTCCTCAGGTTCCCTCTACTCAGCACGGAGGCAGGCTTGCGATCTCTGTGGGGAGTAACTACTGAGTCCTACCTTTCATGTTCTTGGGAATTGCAGCCGCACGTAGGCTACAAGCGCGCCTTTTGGGAGGTCCGCGGCGGCAGGTTCCATCCTCCAGGGAAGCGGCGGCCACGGCGATACTGTCGCCAGCTCTGGCGGACACCAGGTACAACGAGGCGGCGCTGCTGGCGCTCCACGTGAACGAGGCGGATCATTCTGGGCGGCCGCTGGCAGAATCGATCCCGCGCTCACCTCCCCTCCGCCCAGCGATGAACAACTGGTTACCTTCCGCCGAAGACGGCCCATGGAGCCGAAATCGAAGAAAAAACGCTGGGACTGAACAAAATCAGATCGTCGAATGTCTGGGGAAGTGGGGGGACGCCCTGGGACCGCTCCCGAGAAGGCACCCAGACCTGGGTTGCGGGAGCCCGGCCACACGCAAGAGCGACCCCAGGCAAGAGTGACCTTTGGTACTCGGCTTCAAGGATCCGCGGGGGGGCCGAATCCAAACGTGAGGGCCACTGCTGGGGGGATCCCAATGGACCCGCACCACAGGTCACTCTGGCGAATGGTCACTCTCACGTGTAGCGGGAGATCCAGGCCCAGGACGTCGCATTTTTCCCGACCTAGGCTCTGCCGAGAGGGTTCTTACTCGCTGGGCTTAAAGGGGCCGGGCAGTGTTCCTCGCCCCGGGTGGTTCCCGCGGCTCCCCCAGCTGCGCCCCGTGGGCTCGCCCAGCTTATCTTAGCTAAGCGAAGAAGCCAATGGGCCGCGAACACGCCAGACACTCAAGGGTATACCCTCGACTCGGCGGGGTCGACCTGCCCATCCGCCTCGGCCGTAGTCGCCGGCGTTTCTTCATGCCGCGAGGGCGCCCCGAACCCGGCCGCCGCGGCGGCGGCGGTGGGGGGGGGCCGCTGCCTCGGCGGCCGCGGCGGCTCCCTCCGGGGGGCCCGCGGCGCGGTCGGCCGCCAGCGGCCTCGGGGGGCGGGCGCCAGGGGAGGGTGCAGGGAGCGGAGCGAGAGAGGGAGAGAGGAGCTCCTCCTTCCTGCAGCTCGGCGTGGCGGTCTCCTCGGGTCACTATGAGCACCGCGTGGGCGGCCAGAATGCCCGAGCAGGGGGAGGGGAGGGGCGAGGGGGAGGAGAGGGAGGGAGGGGGGGATGCCAAGTCCTTCCTCGAAGGCGAGGCCCTTTCTGGAACGCGTCGTGGGGTAGGATGAGGGGTTCTCTCTCTGCCTCAGTCCTTCGCCCCCCAGCCCTCGCTCCCTGCGGGGTCGGCACTTTGGGCCCCCCACTCGCCGGGAAAAAGGGAACGGGGAAGCAGGGGGAGGAGGACAGTCAGAGGGAGAGCGACCGGGCGAGGGTAGGCAGACTCTTCCTTGACTATTATGTTGTTCCCGATGCGCCCCCTGAAAGGTCGACGCGCCCTCCAGCAGCTGGGGCTCGAAGAGACAAAACGGCGGTGGTGATGCCCCGATCGGCGTTCTGTGGCCTACGTTCTTGTTCGGGGATAGGAGAGCAGAAAACACACCCTCAGAAAAAAAAGACACCCCGACAAACGCAGCCGTTTGGGAAACGAACCCAAGGAGTGCATCGAACAGGGCAAGGCTGCTTCGTAAGCGCCCAGCGCGACTTGGTAACCGCCAGTTATGGGGGTCGGGGTGGTTGTTCCTCCCTTGAGAGGGAGGCGGCGGCCGCGGCGGGTTGCGAGGAAAATCCTGGAGCCCTCGCACTCGCGCGGCAACTCAAGACCAAATTTACGTCGGGTGCACGTCGGAACATCGTCGCGCAAACGTCGTGTCGTCCCATATCTGGCGGGGCGGGCGTGCCGACTCGATAGTACCACTACTGCGCGCCGCGCGAGGCCTCCAGGATTTTCCTCACAGGGGGCGGGCGGCGCAGCATCCCTTTGAAAGCTGGAAGATGTTAGCAACCTCCTAGATGTAGTCCGAGCAGGTGGGGTCGCCCCTGGAACCCCAAGGCCTGGCCCAGAGGCACATCGGTGGTGCATTGGCGACGCCAGCGCGGAGAAATCGGGCCCCACATCAAGCCACGTCGGCAATGCATCGGCGATGCGGCGCGATCCGCCGACCCCATCTGACTGGAGCCCACCTGGGAAACATGGAGATACATGCCTCGGAAAAACTTAATTAGCGAACACTCATGCCGCATTCATCTGTCAATACCCCCCACCAATGATCGAAGTTGGCGGTGGGTTTTACTGAATTGCACTTCGACCGCGGTCTTCCTCGCTTGTGCCAATTTTGAACTCGGGGGGGAGAGAGAGAGAGAGAGAGAGAGAGAACAACAAAAAAAAGATGCCCACGAACTGTTTCCCTTTAGCGTGCCCGCTCCACTTCCCCTTCCCTCGGCGACTCGGCGGCGACGGCAACGCCCGCGCCGTGCCGGCCCAACCCTGGACGCCCGTGCCCAGAAGGAGGGGGGCGGTGACCGTGGCGGCAGGGGCGGAGGAACAGAAGAAAAGTGCTAAACTGCCCCGATGCGCAACACGTCGCGCGTAGCGTGTTGACACGGGAGCGCAATACGTTGACTGAAAACGTAGATCTGGGCCGATGCGTCGGATGTCGGGGAACTCGAAGAAGCCACCTCCATGGGGTCGGCTTCGCCCGTGTCGCTCCTGGAACGGGTGCGGTCGGAATATTTCAAGTCCGAGTCCGAGCTAGGCAATCGACGGCGTCGTAGCTGACGTGGGCATATGTCATGCCGCTTCGGCAGAAAGGATCTCGATGGGGAGCGGGGGCTGCTGCTTTCGTCCTTCATCTCGGGGGCCCTCGACTGAGACACCTGTCGGGATATGCGCGCTTCTCTCTTGTCCTGCTTCTTCGCTCTCTTGTTTGGTCGTGAGCTCGCGCCCATCGGGCCGACTGGCGCGATGGGGACCGTGGTGAGAAAAAGTGGCGAAACAGGGAACAATCTGGAAGAAACTTGCTGTCGCACAAGGGCTCGCAGTAAGGATCGTAAGTGTGAAAAGGGCACTGTTGGCAAGGGGCCCTAAGCCAGACAGCCAGACCTCGCGGCTGCAACGAATCTCCAGCCGCCGAGACGCCGCGGTTAGAACTTGAGCCAACATGGCTTGAACCAAAATTGATACGGGAGGTCTCTGACTCTTAAATAAGTTGGGCAAGGGCGAGGGGTAGCGAGCGTTTGTCCGCGGCCGTTTGTGCTCAAGCGGCCGGCCGCTAATATATGATTGCGCCTCATCGCGAGGCGTTCTATTTGCCATTGAGACCGAAAGCATCTTCGCTTGACATGGCTCGTCGTTCCCGCGACTCTCTCCTGCTCTTGGGACGATCGCTATTACGGTATCGCAGAGTTGGGCGCCCCGACCAGCTTCAAACTTGGTAGCGGAGCTGTCCTGTGGAGGACAGCGATCGCTCTACTCCTCGCCATCCACGGCACTATCTGGTGGACGACCGACATGGTGGAACATCAGGGTGCAGTGGCTCTGCGCGGAGGAACGTATATACATGCGCACAATCGCAAGGACATTTGCAGCGCTGCCTCTGCTCCCGCGGAGGTCTCCTACATGAGTCCTACCTCTCTGCGCTACTACACTCCGGAAGTCCACCCACCCACTCCAATTTGTAGTTTCTTCGATGATACAGTGCATGGCGACGCGCGACGCGACGTCGCGCCGCCTCCACCCCCGCGCAAGCTGACGGCAAGGTCACCGCGCAAGCAACAACGACACACAACCGACTACGACCTACGAGGCCATTTGACCGGTATTACTACATTTGGCCTTCTATCAGTCGCTATCGGATGCGCTGTTGGACGCGCGCAGCGTGGTGGGGACGACGCGCGCACTGCTGGCCCCCGTTGGGACCCTGCCGGCAAATTACTTTTTCTCGCGAGTTCGCTCGCGAGGTACATGCCTGGACCAACATGGCCACAGGCACTGTGACCCCCTCCCAACAGGCTGCGGCTCTACAACGTGGTCTGGGAGGGCTCGCAAGGATCACAGCCATGAGTCGGTGTTACTATCGGTGGTCGCCACGCCGATGGCGCCACTTATATCATGTTCCTCCTCAGCACTAAATTCGCAAACCTGGAAGAGGAACGCCAACTCAACTCGGGAACGGCTCCCATTGACTTTCGCGTCCATGCGGGAGAACGGATTGACCACGCGCTGGCCCGCTTCGAGATAGCACGCTTCGAAGCCGACTCCGCGGGATTTAACGTCCCAAACTTCCAGATCCTAACAGTTGTACTGTTTGGAGTTCTAGGTTTGCACAGCAACTACTACAACCAGTGAACCACCAAATGCCACGGACTCAGCAGCAGTCTGACGCCTTACGAGAGCGAAGGGGGGATCACGCCCATATTGCTGAGCGAACCCCTGGCAACATTGGTGGTGTATTCAGCCATGGCCACCGCGCCGACGTCTTTTATAGCGACACGCACGCAGGGCAACCTGCCAACAACGTCTGGAATGACGATCCACAACCAAACAAGCCACCACTCTATTAAGCCAACACGGTGGCCAGCCCACGGGGTCGCAAGACTCCTGGGCTCGATATCAAAAACCGTCGGCAACAGCGGCCCCCGCTCAAGCCACTGCCCTCGCAGGCTAGGCGGGGCGACCCGCGGAGACCGAATTTGATTCTGGCACCGACGCTGACCTCATCAGATGAGGGAATTGGTGACCTGGATTACTCCGACATGCCTGTGCATCTCACTACTGAAGAGCAGCAGGCGCAGTGGATATCCCTCGGACACCAGAAGCACAAGCGCCGATGGAGACGTTTCATGAAGAAACCAATTCGAAAGGTGCGACGTACAGTCCGACGGGTGTTCAGGTCAAAAGGTAGGGGTACAGGTAAGGGAAAACGACGGAGGTTACATGGCAGAGGTATGCTAACATTCGTGGCATCCCTTACGGGACCACAATATGTGGACATCTTCCTGGGAAGGGTAGAGGCCGTAGGCGCGCCTGAGGAAAAGGTAAGGGACGTCGGGGTAACCCGAAAGATGCCAGCGGGAAGACCATGGAATGTGATATCTGCCATAGCACCCAGCATTTTCGTCGTGAATGCCCCCAAAGCGATGGGGGAGGCATGGGTCCGTTGATACATCCCGATTCCGACATTCAGCATGACGATTCGGGGACTCTTCTCGACGAATCAGAAGACGACCCCACAGCCGCTGTCCATCTCATGTCCGCGAGGTATCTGGGCGCCAGCGTGTCCCCCGAGGTGCGCCGACGAGCTCTGCGAGGAGATCTACGTTGGCCACGATGAGATAGGCCTTGCAGACTAGCTGGGAATTCCTATCGCGGGCAACCTGCACGCATAGAGTTCATCGAGGACTACCACATGCCCGCCGACTCGGATCACGAGATGGCGGGGGCACCTGCACACTCCAGTGATACTAGACCAGCTACGGAGGAGAAGCTCCACTTGGCGCTCCGACCGCAGGCGATCGGAAACCCTGCGCGCAAGGAGACCTGCGACGGCGATCATTTGCGGGGCAACCCGCGTGACGCAGGCGACCTGTCTGAGCGCATTCAATATGAACTCGGACACAATGAAGGCTCTCACTATACTTTTGCACAGCCGGTCTTCGAGCCGCCCGCTTCGGAGACGCGTATATCGCACTGGCGATGGCGATGGAGACTGGGTAGCCGAGAGCCATCCGCCATGCCGCCATAGTCGGAGTCATTCGCGTAGGCACTCGCGCGCCCGCTCAAGCGGCGCGCAGCGTCCTCGTTCACATGATCCGAGAGAATCACCTAGAAGGGCACTCGCGGGGAAACCCGCATCAGGATGAAGAAAGCCCAGGCGAACCCGATGACCCGCCCGCGGCAACTCAGACGTCGGCGAAAATAACGACGGGTTCGCCCGCAAATATATCAGACGAAGACATGGATTATTGGCTGGATTACACCGAGCACCAAATCCACCACTGGTGGTCACTGAACAATGCGAAGCGGGATGACCAAGGCAAAATCGTCCGCAC